TGGTTAGGTAGGTATTGAGTAATCTTCGTTTAAATTTTGGGTATCTATAAAAAAAAAAGTTGTAACTAAATGTTTTTTAACTTTAATAAATGTTTCTTGACAACTACCTATACAAATTCGATAAATTTTTTTTTTATTTTAATTCTATAAGGATTCAGAATTAAAATAAAAAATTTTTCACCGAATTTGGATAGGTAGTTGTCGAGCAATCCTTGCTTAAAGTTTAGAAAAAGAAAATTTTGCCCGATTGTTTTCTGATTGTCTAATTTTTTTTTAAACTAGGATTTCTCGACAACCACTAAACCAATTTCAAAAATATTTTTTATTTGATTCTAAAAATCTATGGGGTTGAAATAAAAAAATTTTCACCGACTTTGATCAAGTAGTTATGAGAAACCTTTGCTAGAAGTTTGGAAATTTTTAAAATTTTTGGATGATCGTAAATTTTGATTGGTTTTTTATTGGCTAATAACTCAAAATTCGCATAATTTTGTCACATGCATAATTTTCACATCATAATCCTGGACACCCTAATGCTTTAAAAAAATTATATAGCGATAGATAGTCTAAACATAATCCAATGACTTTTATTACATTTTACACTATATATATATAAATTTTTATTGGATATATCGATATATTATATTAAATATAAAACTTTGACCGGTCACGGGGAACTGTTCCCGTAACCCGTACTGTATCGGTATTAAAACAAGTTTTCTGAAATATTAAAAAAAAAACGAATCAGATTTTTTAAAAAACAATAATATTCTTGGATTTTTGTTTTATGGCATTGAAGGGAATATTACTTCTTTTGCCTGATATTAAATGTATGAAATTGACCGAATTCGTGTATTTCCTTCAAGATACATCACTATTATGACGATTTTTGCTTTTCGTTTAACGGAAATCCGTGTATTTCCTTCAGGACATATCATTATTGCGACGGATTTGCTTTTCGTTTAATGGAATTACATTTGGTTGTTTTAAATTTGGATAAATGTAAGTTTTTATAAAACCTTCTTGCATCTCATTTGAGTTTTCTTCTAGAGACTTGCATTTCGTTTCCGGAATCAGAAAAGAAAATAGAAACCCAATGAAGCAAACCAATGCGAAAATTTCTAATAGACGATCGAAGAACATATTTTTTCCATCTATGTCTTTAAGTAATAAGACCATTACTTGTGATAGGAGTGCACCAACTTTTCCACTAGCAGCTGATATACCGTGGCACAAACAGCGATAACGGGTTGGAAATACTTCACCAGGTACTATGAAAGTAGTTGTATTTGGGCCGAAGTTTGTGAAGAACTATTATTATAAAACAAGGGAAAAGATAGAAGAATTGTTATATATGTTACAAAAAAAAAAAAAATGCGGTACTACTGTTCTCATAAATCTGAGATAAAAAATATAATTTCTTCGGTCTTGTTCTAAGAATCATGAGACCCAAACCTTCAGAAACTACGTCGCTGACTTTGTTCGGAGACAGCACCATAATTTCCGAAAAGTTGGTTATTTTAAGGCAAGACAGAAGAAGTTTCAGGAGAATGCGATTTTTTACAGCTATTCTTATAAATTCTGGACCAACTAAAAATTTGTCCGTTTCCCGAAATCTCTTCGGTGACAGACTCATAGGACGGAACCGAAGAGACTTCGAGAAACGAACGAACGTTTAGCTTGTTTCGGAACCTATGAAGAATGATTGTAATCTTTCCGCCTTTATACGATACGTAGTCATAAGTCGACTAAAGCAGCTAATACAAATATTCATATAGCTAATTATTATATCTAAGCTAAGTTTGATTGACACTACCAGAATACTATAAATCATGAGCTTCTTGAAAGTTACTGCCGTGTTTGACAATGTTCAAATAACACCACAGGTGTAATTTCGAATTTCGGTTTAATTTGCCCTTTATTCGCACGTCCGTTATTTCTCGGAAATACACTATATGTTCCGGCGTTCAATTCATTGTGGCGGTTACTGTAACAAGTATTGTCAATGGACATGAACAATTAATGTCCATGGACAAATAAAGGGTATGTCCATGTCCATGGACATAGTGTTGTTCATGGACAATCGGAATTATTACCGATTAGCCAATAGTGTTCTTGGACATTTGGACATTTGTACAAGTACATTATCGGGCCGCAGATAATTATGTGGACATGGACATTGGACAATGTCCATGTCCAATAATTTTCTTGGACATATGTCCATGTACATTACTGACTATAACGATCAGGTGTAACGCAAAATCAAAACCACAAAATCAAAACCACAAAGCTGCTTTTTTTCAAAATTTTGACTATGAAATGTTCTAACAAAAAAAAGAAAACAATTCCTTGCGAAATTTTGTACAAACTATATCCTTCCCAACCTCATTCTAACCCTACTTAATCGCAGGGTTGTATTTTTATAAAAAAGGTTTGATAGTCACGTTACACCTGACCTTAGTTACGGTTACAAAATTCATTTGTAATATACGGTTACAAATCTAAAAACCAGACAGCACATCTAGTTTAACGTTATCAGACAGTTTTTGAAACTTTCTTTCAAGGTATTGAATTGCTGTTTACATGTCTGGTAGATATAGACACCCTTGCGACACTCATGTATATATGAAGACATACATACCATCGATAATATGAAAAGGGCTACAAATATGGCCTGGTATTCTTTGGTAATAATCGTATATGAGAATCCAATGACCAGATAAAGAATTGTCAAGACCGCAAATCCCATTAATTGGATGAATCTTCGTCCCAATCTATCGATTAACAAAAAACTACACCAATATCCTGGTATCGTTCCTAACAGTGTCACGACTACATTACCCAGGGCAAGATGAAATAAATTTAGATACGGATCTTTAGACGTCGATAAGTTTGTTGTTGCATTCATAATGATTCCTTAATTTAAGAACGGTAATAGCCACTTAATACAAATAAGTTAGCGATTAAAATATTCGTCTATTTCATTTCTTACCTTGATTAAAACTAATGCCATAGAAAGCCACATCTATGGCAAACCATGTGGCACAGGTACTAAGTAGGATTTTTCCATTGCGCCATTTTCCAAAGTAATCTATTCGATAAATTATTTAAATATAAATCGATACAACTGATATTTGGGTCATATAATCACTGTTTGAAAGAAAGTGCCAAACAGAGCAAATGACCCATTTATTTTTCGATAATTACCTCGGAAATCCTTCCACGAAGCTTTTGGGGTTCCAACCAAATAAAACGCTTCAAATTTATCGTCCTTTGTATAACTCGTGTTGTTAAGAAGGATCTCTACACTTTTGGCACCTTTATCAATATTCCCAAGCACATCCATCGTAAAACGGGGTGATTCAGGGTTCGTTACCCTGAAATAGAGAACCCCGAGGGCTGGAATAGCGCCGACTCCAACGACGATTCTAAATAACCCAATGAAATTTTCGATCAAAATAAAAACTTAACCTGGTTTAAATCTATTATCGTTATAAGGTAACACCTCCGGCAAAGTTTCCAGAAACGCATTTCGGTCAGGGACCGACAAAAATTTGGAACCAAATCAATCCAAATTTTTCAAAAATTTCCAAATATTTACACAAAATCCAAATAAATTCAAATTTTTAGAGTTTTTTTAACAATAGTTTCTCTAAATAAAAAGGCATTTATCGGTTTAAAATCGCTTTTACTCACGTTAAATAATTAGCCAAAACTCGGATCATTAATAGTCATGTGACATGGTCTAAATTATAAGTTAATTTCGTAATGCTGGCCAAAATCCATTTGATATTGACAGTCCTTGATTTCGATGTTACACTAGCCACGTGCTTACATGATTTTGGCCAAAATTACAATGTAATTTTGGTCAAAATTATGAGAGCACGTGGCTAGTGTAACATTGAAATGCGTTTCTGGAAACTTTGCCAGAGGTGTTACTTATAATAGATTTAAATAAACCCTTAATCTGGATTAGGGAACCCCTACGTGAAAGCCTAGTCCATTCCCCAAATAAATTTTCATACCTCCAAACATGGTCGAGATAACGAACATCCTCTTTAATACGAGATTCGTAGACCTTTAGAGTAAGCATCGTAATCAACCCTGCGAATAAAATACCGAATCCTTGCATTGCGAATACTATTGACATCATCGCCCCACGTCTTCTCTTCGTTGCAAATTCGCTAGTAATGACTTAAAAATAGAAAGATTATAAAAATTGGTTTCTTTTCAATCTGCACTTACCGTAAGTTCTCGAAATAGCGGGCATGGGCATTATTTCGAAATTGTGCTCCCTAAAACTAGCATATGTGGATTCCAAATAATGCCCATGCGCGCTCTGAAATAACGCACATCCCACTATTATTATTTTTTAAGAAAACCAGGTTCAAAAATAGGGATGTTAAAAGTCTGACCGGTTCTTAAAAGTCTGGGTCTAACAAAACAGTTTAATGTACAATATAGATAATTTTGACTTTTATTTGGACTAGTTTCGGACTGGCCCTAAAAAGTCCGGTCCAGACCCGGTCCGAACCAGTCCTTTGTGGACTACTTAACATCCCTATTCAGAAAATCAGTCTATATATTCGAAATAACGCCTATGGGTGTATGCATAGGTATTCAAAATAACGCGCAGATGCCCATTATTTCGAGAATTTACGATAAGAGGTTCAGTTGAGCAAAAAAAAAAAAAAAAAAAAACAATCACCAGCGGAGAGTGGATAGTCACCCCCAATTCCTATACCCAAGACAATACGCCAAAATATAATTCCGGTAAACATGCTAATGGAAAAGGAATCTGCGGCGAGAGCTAAAGTTATGTTATATTTAGATTTTATTATTCAAAAAATATATATATTTAAATGAAGCAGTTTGCTTGAAGTATTTCTCACCTGTCCCTGCAGTGGCAGCAATCATAATCGAGAGTTCAATTCCGTACACCTAACATAGACAGATAACTTCCAGTTTGGTGATATTCATATGTCAATAGGTTAGAAAATTCAATTTACTTTTTGACGACCATATCTATCAGCCATCCATCCGAAAAATATCTGTCCAATAACATTTCCTATGGCAGCCGAAGTCTTGATTCCGGTATCCAGATTTGTGGGAACGTAATTTGAATTATCATCAGCAGAAAAGTAGGCATACCCAAGTATGCCTGAAACAAGATTAATAACAAATAGATCGTAGGCCGAAGTAAAAAATCCTAAACCTGTAATCACACAGGCTCGAATATGGACCAACTTAATTGCTGCGTCGTCAAGCTTTAATAGGGCATCACGGCGTTTTGTGTCTAATTCAACTAACTTGTCTTGCGATTTTTTGGCAAATTCAACAGCGCTAGACATGATTTACTTTGAATTTAATGAAAGTGATTTATTATTTTTTAGTATCTAAAATTCTTTAATGAAGGTATGAATTGGGAATTTCGTTATAGTTTGATAATTTTTCAGTATCTAAGGTTCTTTAATGAAGGTATGGATTGAGAATTTCGTTATAGTTTATAGTTTTTCAGTATCTAAGGTTCTCAAGTTTCCATTAAAAAGCATTCTAAATCCTTAAAGAAAGATAATAATAATTAAAAAAAAAAAAAAAAAAAAAAAAAAAAAAAAGGACGGAAAACCTTAGTTTAAAGAGGAAATACGTAAATAATGTTAAATTTATTTGTACACGTACATAACATTTTTAATTTTCTAAATAAGTTATGAGCGTAATTCGTTGTACGTACTATGCTATATATGTATAATGAAAAAATGTATGAAAAATATGGTTGCTTAGATATATTCACACAAAAAATCTAGGTATATAATCAGTTTTATATGTAGTAGCGTTCAAACGGGTCGGCCCATTGAACAAATTCTTTGCTTGCTCATTGAAAGACACACCATCCATACAGTAATTCGTTCGGTCTACTTTTCGACTTTTCGAAGATCGAAGCTAATGCTCATTGTCGATCGCAAACTGTGATCCTAAAGTGGTTACACGGTACACTCACCTGAAGTCACATGATGACCGAGAAATCTTTATTCGTATAGCGTCCTTTTTAAAGAATAGATTAACGGCGACACCGCAAGGAGTCTGGGTACATGTGCCCACCGCGTCGTGATATGAGGCCAATCAAATTGTTTGTTTTGATCGACGCGGATCAGCCCGACGAAGAAAAAAAGAAGAAAAAAGCGAGAAAACGAAGGATACAAGAAAACTAATGCCTAAATCTATATTGATGCACTAATAAAAAATGTCGGGAAGGTGATTTTACTTCTAAGACACATCCTAATCCTAACCTCGAACTAATCCTTACCCTAACTTTAACTAAATAGTAGGGTTGTTAATGGAGTGGCATACTCCGGAGCAACCCCAACCCAAGTTGAGTAACTATAAGCAAATCTGGAGTGAGTCAAAAACTCGAGGTAGGAACGTTCCAAATAAGGAAATGATGATCCCGATCATGCATAATACTGTAATAGTTTATTGTAAATTCTTATGAAATTTAATTACAGAATTAAGTTCAAAATAAATGCCGTTAAATGCCGTTAAATGTTACTGTTAGGTAAACAGCATGTATTTATTAATTTAAATCAAGATTATTAATTTTTTCATAGTAAATTAGTTTTATTTATTTACAAAACTTCGATAATACAGTAATAATAATCTATATACATATATATATTTAATTCTACGCCTAACTTTGTCTTATTCTATGTATAATTCTACGTCTACTCAAATTTTAATCTTTTACACTACACTATCTCACACAACTATCATTTTTATAAAAGATCTTTGGAATTTTAACACACATCATATATGAGTGCGGCTAAGAGAAAACCTCGTTCTTGTTTTTTTGTTAAACTCAGTTGTAAATGTAATACATATGTATCAGATCATAACTGAGTTTAGCAAAAAAACAAAAACGAGGTTTTCCCTTAGCTGCACTCATATAAACTTCTTATCAAACTTAAAAATTCCTATAGTGGTAATATTAATAAATTACAAGTTAATTAAGTTTTCTAAAAGATTTCTATACAGCACGTATAATAAAAAAAAATATACAAACTATTTTTCTTTTTACACCATTGTTGTTAACCATTATTAAGTTTTTTCTTGCTTAACAAATGAGATTTTGTTAGTGTAGTGGTAGTTAATTGCTTATAACTTTGACCAGTGAAGTGGTAATATGAAAGTTGTATTAAAATAGATTAAATGAACATGTTGTAGAGCAAGGGTGAGAAATTCAAGTTTTTTTAATAATCTACTACATTTCATAAAGGAGATAACCTACTCAAGCTTCTAAAAAAAAGTATATAATTAATTGTGTAATGATCTACAAAATCGGGAGATTCAAGACCAGTGATATAAATTGAATCCGTGCAGTAGGCACAGTATATATAGATTTAAATTTGTGTATATATCAGCACTTTTCTTAAATATAAATATATATATATATATTTCAATATTGATAGCCTTATCAGTATTTTTTTTTTTTTTTTTTTTTAAATTTATTGGCAGCCTTGCCAGTATCTTTATTAGATCAAAGCATATATATATATATATTTAACTATCTAAACTATAGATTTGATATTCTTTGGCTACCTCTATAGGCGTCTAAGGATGATCTGCCTCACTGGTTAAGGCTAATGCCCGTATTGGAAGGCTGCACCAAGCTAGTCATTAAAGCTATACCAAAATGGCTTCACACTATTTACAATAAAGTCTTTAACTGCAGCAAACCAAGTATTTTCTTTTCTGTCGACTTCCTTCTCTTTAATGATTTCTTCTTTCTTTTTCATCTTCCCTTTAGTTTGCTCTTGGCTCTGACTATATTCTTTGTATTTTACATTTGACTCATTTCTGCTAGTAGCTGTTTTTCTAACTTTTGGTCTCCTTTTTTTCTTCTTTTTCGAGTTTATTCTATTTTTTTTTTCCAATCATTAAGAAATGCGCATCTTTGTTTCCAGATATTTTCATAAAAGTAATTCCAGGCTGAGTTGACTGTTGTATTAAGGTAGCTTCTGATTTCTTTTAGAGTTCTCACTAATTCAAGAATTTCTTTTGCGATTCTGTCTTTAATCAGTCCTTTAAGAATGCCAGCTCTTGTCTTATTTTTTCCTCTTTTGTTAAACTCTAAAGAGAGCTTTTAAGTTGAGTCTTATTAAGACGATTGCAGGTTTTTCTGAGAGAGCTGTCCAAGCCAAGTTCGATACTAGCTGCTCTGCTTCTAACCACTTGATTTTATATTTCTCGCATGAAGTTAAATGTTTTTGATTTTCTTCTTCTCCTTTTGTGCATAATTTACAAATTGAACTATTATATAGGTCTGGTCTTCTAGTCACCAAGGTTTTAAAGACTGAGAGTCTCTTATATAAGCATTTGACTAGTACTTCCAAATATTTATTCTTTCTTGCACTCGTACATCTAACTCCATTTTGATTTCTAATCTTTTTTCATAAAATAAACCAATATTGGCATTGTCTCTCGTCATCGGGTTCTATTTTCATAATTGCTGATGTAGATTTCTATTCTATTACTGTTTTGAGCTCAAGTGTTAGTTGTAAAAATTCTCTCGTAGAAGCTTCTACTATTGTTTCTTTCTAGCATAAAGAGATATTCGATTCTTATAGAGGTTTATCTATAATTCTTTCTCTATCTACTATTCTAGATCTCATTTTTACCAGTTTATCTACCATATCGTTCTACCTATTTCTACTATGTCTTTTTACCTTTTCTAATTCTAGTTGTAATTCTTTCATTTTTGCTATATTTATAATACATTTTACTAAGTCGTAATTCTCTACTCTTAGCCTTTGTCTAGCCGATTTATTTCAATTTCTACTTTCTAATCTAGCTAAAGCTGTTGCACTATTTGTATAAATTTTTACTTTCTTTCTTTTGGTATAACTAAGAACGCATACCCAATTTCCAGTAACTCTGTTTTAGTTGAAGATAGCCAGTTTTTTGCTCCAAAGTATCTCTCATCAATAATTTCCTCCTTCTCCTCATCTATGAGTATCTAGCTTGCTCTTATTTTATCTGCCTCTACTTGAGTTATTTTTTTATTTCTTCTTAAAGAACCATCTATATAGAAAGTAAACTGAGACAAGAAGCTACGTTGAAGTTTTTGGTTCTTCTCTATTAGGTAATTCTGTAAGGCCAGGCTGATTTGCTGGCTTCTAATGATCTCTGTATCCAAATCATAGATCTGGATGTCCTGCAATACTTTTTCAGTTATGGAGATCTGAAGCTTATCACAAGTTACTGGGAAGAACAGCATTTTGTAATAAACTTTAAGGGCCTTCCTTTTTCTGTTTGTCCACAATTTTTGTTATTAACCCTTAAATTTTCTCTTTGTTTATTTAGCTTCTGCAGGAGTTTTCTTCTTTCTCTTGATCTAGTTCACAATCTTCGCATCTTTCAAGTCTTATACTTTTTGTAACTGGCTCTTTGTTTACTTTCCAGTGTTCTGTAAAGTACCTTTTTTCTGGTTTGTTGAGGATTCGTCTGATTTCTGGGTAATGGTTTTTTTTTGCTTCTTTAGCTTTAACCAAAATCCACTCTTTTTTTCTTCTGTCCTCCTCTAATAGGTCTGATATAATCTGCAGCACCCAGGCACTGGAGCCACCTAGTCTATACTCTGGTTTAATCAGTCTGCTTTCTTTATCTTCAATTATTATTTCTTCAATTGTATGAAACCATTTTACACTTTTTTCACTATTTGACCTATTTCTTAGCATCTTCAGTTGCTACCATGTTATTAAGTGATCTCCAAACTGTGTTAATAATTGTTTGAGTGAAATTATATTGAGTTTCCTGAGCATTGTTGCTACTAGTGAAGTAAAATTCTTTCCTAGAATATTTGCTAGTCTGAATTTAAGGTATTCTGTTTCTAATTCTGTATTGTTGAACTTTCAGCTCCCTAGCCTTTAACATTGTTAAGCAGGCCAAGTTGTTTTTTCAGAGATATATACAGATCTTAGGCAGCCCTTCAAACCAGGTGTTCTCAGCTGCATCTAGTAGTTGAATACCTTAACTTAGTCTTAACGAAGTTAGTATTTCTTCAGAACATGCTGTATTTAGTCACAAGTGTAGGCTGAAAACTTGCTTTGTTAAAGTCAATTCCATAGTGAGTTTCAACTTCCAATACTTCTATGCAAAATTGTACTATTGCGTGTAGTTCTTGCTAGCTCCATTCTATGTTTTGTTAAAACTAATATTGATGCCTGTAGATCATTGATCATCTTTTTCATAAACCTGAAGACTTGCAGCATATAGCACAGTTTTGGAACTATGCACATATTGTTTATATAAGATGCTTGCGCAACTGTTAACTTCTTTAAATTTAGTATTCGGACCATTAAACGTACAATTTCCTTTGCTTTTGCCTTAACCAATGACTCATCTAACTTGTTGTTAAGCCAAACTCTTAAGAATCTTGTGATTTTATTTCTTCCTTCCTCTAATAGCTATTCATCACCAAACAAAATTTTTCTATCTTCTCTTCTTTTCTCAAAGTTGATGACAATTAGTTTGGATTTCTTTCTATTGATTTGTATATCATTGAACTTGAAAAACTCCTCAGCAATTTAGATTATTTTCTCCATTTAGTCTTTGCTTTTTGCAATCTACGTTGTGTTATCAGCATAAGCAATAACTGCTTGAGTCCAATCTTTATGTATTGTCTGGTTTAGGCTGTAGTTAAAAGAGATTTGTTGAGTTACAGTATATCCTAATTTGAGGTCTTCATTAACTTTCACAAGTAATAGGTTGTAAAAATTCTCCACACGAGGGGCGAGATTATCTCTCCTTGCTCAATTCTGTCATTTATTTCGAAATATTGTATTGTGTTATACCTAGCTTTGTAATAATTTTTGACTGCCTATTCACGAAGAGATTTATAATAAACCTAATCATTATTTGTAGAATTTTAAGTCTTTCTATTGCTAGCTTTAATGATTTTAAAGATACTAAGTCGAAAGCTTTCTTCATATCTTGAAATACTAGCCAAAGTTCTTTTTTATGATCCACTGCATCTTCTATTATTGCATTTAAAATCTGAACTGGTTTTTCTGTTGAGTTCCCAGGCAATCCAGCAAAATTTGAACCTTTCAAGATATTATTTTCAACTATAACTTGTGATAGTCTCCTAGCTACTATTTTAGTTATACACTTTCTAAATATTTTTAAAAGTGCTATAGGCCTAATGTTGTTCAAGTTGTAGCGCTAGTCTGCATCTTTTGAAATTAGATATATTTGTAAAACTTTCTACTTTACTAGGACGTTGCCTGTCTGGATACAATACTCTGCAAATATTCGAAAGATTCTATATGCTTGTATACTTGCTGCTTTAATTAAAGTATAGATAATTTCTGTAACTCCAAGGGCAGTGTTTTTCTTTAAGTCTCTAAGCATGTTTTCTCACTCTTCTTCTGAGATATTCTGATCAAGATTCTTATACTACACATCTTGTATCTCTTCTTTTGGCTTATAGATTTCTTTCCAATTCCTTTCTCATAGCTCTTGATCAAAAGAACGAGGCCTAAATTAATTTTGATAATGCTCTCTTGTCTTTTTAAGAACTTCTTTTAGATCAGTGATTAGTTCTCTTTGATTATCTTTTTCTTCCAGAAGTCTGTCTATTTGGATTTTTCTAAATGGCTTTTCTAAAAGACTTGCAAGTATTTTGTCTTGTTTTCCATCAATCATTTGATATCTTCTTTCGATATTTTTATCTATTTCTTTTTTCCATTGCTATTCAATTTTTTCTGCTCTTC